GCAGCCTATGCAACTCCTTTAGAATTGGTGATGCACGATCAAATTTTAAATTGCGGTATATCATTCTAGCAGCCTGATTCTGAACCATCTGAAGTTTAGACAACAGTTAATCAGCTACCATATATATATATATATATATATGTATGTTGGTAATAGACCATAATTTTTACAATATTCTATAAATTCTACCGAATGTTTGGCGTTAATATGTTTGTAGTTCGTTTTTTCAAATTTCTCACTAAAGTTTTTGGGTGAACGTTTAGTTTATTAAAATTCAAAATAAACTTATTTTCCGAATTCATGCTGCAAATAAGGCCATATTTCGATTGAATCATCATCAGTGCTTTCTGCTGTTTATATAGGGAAATATTGACTTTGTCAAAATGAACTTAGATGGACACTTTGACAAAGTCAATCTCCATCGAAGTTCATTTTGACAATGCTCCAATGGATGCAACGAATTAGTATGAAGAACCACATCAAATCTACCGAAATCCTGCGTCGTGCTGGTTTAGATGATATAAAGGACGAATGCAGATGTTGAAGTACCTGGCACACGTCCCAAAGGCCGTCCAAAGAAGTCCTGGTCGCAAATAATCGAGCAAGTCATGAAAGCTCTTAATTTAAATGAAATGAATACAACTGATCGGCTAATTTGGCGCAAAAAGTTGATGGCAAAGAAACCGGGTCTCTGGACGCAAAACGAAGATTGATTGATAATATGGTATGTGGTTATAATTATATCTAATATTTCACAATAGCATGTTACCATATTAAATTATAACTTATCAAATTCAAATTTATCTTTCATTGTTTTATTGAAAATTTTTACAATTCACTAATTTTAGGCTCTGATGATGACCACCTAGCCGAAACAACGTTGTTAGCCACGAGACATGACACAATTTTTAATAAATATGAATTGCAACAATTACATCGTGTTGACTCAATTTCAGAAAAATTAATAAATGTAAAATGGGCAAACATATTCAACGATATATATATATATATATATATATATATATATATATTAGGGATGCACCGGATTCAGGTTTTTCAAATCCGGCCGGGGCCGGACTTGGCCGGATTTAAAATTCAAAAACCGGCCGGGGCCAGAGCCGGGGCCAGAGCCGGGGCCGGATTTTAGTTACCATTTTACATGCGTTAGAAAAAATACTCACATTTACGGTTATCTACATGTTGAACATCAAAAAATAACACCAAGCAAATAGTTATTTAATTCAAATATATGAATAAGTTGTGTGATATGCCAAATTGTGTACACAAAGATCAGCTTATAATTTATGCACATTTGCATAACCCATGTTAAAGCACAAAGAAAATTGTCCAGCTCACCGCATAATTAGTGATGTTGTAATTATGTGTAATGTATACCTAGCCTAACCTTTAACATACCATGTTCTTAAATTATGTGCTTATGTATCTCTCTCTCTCTCTCTCTCTTTCTCTCTCTCTCTATATATATATATATATAGAGTCTCTCTCTCTCTATATATATATATAAATATATAGATATATATATAGAGTCTCTCTCTCTCTCTCTCTCTCTCTATATATATATATATATAGAGAGAGAGAGAAATATATATATATAAAGAGAGACAGATATCTATATATATATATATATATATAAATATATATTAAGTAGCTATATGATCCGTCATATGCAATTATATAGTATATACACGTGCACAAGTTCTTTTACACAAAGATCAGCTTATAATTTATGCATAACATATGTTATAGCATAAAGAAAATTGTCCAGGTCACCTCACAATTAGTGATGTTGACATTATGTGTCATGTATGCTTAGCCTTAAACTTATTGACATAAAATTAATTGAATTCAATAAAAATTTTTTTTCTATTTATAACATTTTTAAAAGTTGATAGACGCTTAAATCCGGCCCTAAATCCGGCCCTAAATCCGGCCGGGGCCGGATTCGACCGGATTTGAAAAAAAGCCGGATTTTGGCCGGGGCCGAACTTCGGTGCATCCCTAATATATATATATATATATATATATATATATATATATATTTAGGAACGAGGTTATCAGAAATGCAAATTTCATTGAAATTGTTTGCCCATTTTGCATTAATTAACTTCTTTATAAGACATTCAACGAGGCGGTATTGTTTGAGTTCACATTTATCTAAAACTGGAATAAAGCTAACAGCGCTGTTTCGGCGTAATGCCATCTTCAGAGCCTAAATATTGTTTAAACATATAATTTAATTAAAGTAAATGCCTAATGTAAAATGTGAAAATATAGAAAATAAAATATGTATTAAATTGTGAAATAAATTAACCTTGTTGTAAATATCATAATAACTAAAGTTTATGTAGATTATATAAATAAAATAATGTAATCTAAATAAAATGTTTAGTAAAATAATTA